GCTGCAGTCGAACACAATAGCCTATGAATGTAACATATTGTTCATTTAAAATCAGATTATTGATTTTTATCTTTTTTTTAGAAATCATTTAGAAGATGAAGAATAATATTAAATATAGAAATCATAGACAAATATTAAAATCAAAGAAATATAAAAAATAGAAAAAAAATGCTCCAAAAAATAAAATACCTATGTAAAGATAAAATTTTCCTTGAAAATGATGAATACGCATAGAAACAACATCAGATAATAATTATTTTGATAAAACAAAACAGCTTGTTGTTCCCAAAACACTATCTTCAGTATAAATGTCTGTCACACTTAGTTACAAACGTTTACATTTCTTTATTTAATATATTATTTAATATAATATTTAATATATTAAATATTTAATATATTAAAAAAGAATGTTAAAGAAAAAATAAAGAGAAAAGATTCATTTTGAAAAAATAGCGCCATTAAAGCTGGGTGGAGCTCATCTGCCTCTTACCTGTTCTGTATCTTCCAATCAGAGACTGGAGCATCTATCTTGTTCCACTGTTGGTGAGGATCAAACAAAAGGGGATCCAATACAGTATGGCGTTATTCACCATTTCTTTTAGATCTCTATTCATTAACATTTAATATTTAGTTATTAATAAAATTGCAATACCTATCGAAATATATTTTTAAACTTATTTATATGTATAAACAAAATTATTATTAATACATTACATGACTAATATCTTAATAAACATTAACATAAACTTAATAACTTTAATAACTTTCATAAACATTTTTACTTTTAACATTTTTTAATAAATTTGAAAAGTGATTATATGAACTAAAGTAAGTATAAATGATGTGATGTATATTAAATAAATTGAATACAAATAGAATATCTTTCTTTTTTTTCAAGAATCATGTCGATATGTCTACAACATCTGTTTAAGTTATTAAATTCATTTTAAGTCTATTTATCAATAACTGTATTTTAAAATTTATTCTAAGAAATTATTTTTTTTTTCAATTTTTATAAATTATACTAATTGATAACATGTATAAAATCCGCTGAAATAATAACGATGAATCTATCATCAGTATGATTTCAGTGGTTCGTAACCATGGGGTTCCATGCATAAGAGAAAATAAAAAAGAACACGCTTCCTCTGAGTCGGGAAGTGTCGCGTGTCCTGATGGCTCTCTCCTTCCAAGAACTAGGATCGTTTAGATTTGACCTCTTAAACCGTGCCTTAGAATCTCCTGAATTCATCAGACCCTGCAAAATTTCCATGGCAATTAGTGACTCGACATTCTATCATTAGTTTCAACTTTCAACATTTTTTCTTGTTTTTCTTTTTTTTTCTTGACTACTGTATGACATATATATATATATATTTTTTTATATATTAATGTATTTTTAGAATATATATATAGAATATATAGAATGTTATCTGTAATTTATTTTAGAATACTCAATAAATATTGTTAAATATTTATTAATTATTTAAAATGGAATATAATAAAAAAAATATTAAAATAAATATAACAAATAAGAAAAAAATTTATTATTTGAAATCATGGAATTTGTATAAAATTTGATATTGTTATTGTAGAAATAACTTAATATTTCGGAATAGTTTAAATTCATTAATTAATAATAATAATTAATTTTAGAATTTAAATACAAAATTTATACAAAATACAAAGTTTATACAAAATTGGTTTTTAATGAGATATACAATTAGATATGTAAACTTATAAATTTTTTATAAAAAAAAGTTAAAATATTAGAAAATACTTCACCAGTATTCTCCAATTTCATTTTTGACAGTGAGGAGGAGAAATGACAATGGATCGTCGGGAGTGGTAAGAGAAACGAAAGAAATGTCCGAGGAACCCCCACTGAGGAATCCAGAGGCCCATCCATGCCATAACAACCCGTGAGGCCCTTTTTTTCTAATTCACGATCTCAGCATCAGGGTCCACGTTATTCACGTGGGTCTAATACCCCCTCGAAGACGTTAATTCGAGAAATTCAATCCAGATTTCATCACCTCTCTTTTCTTGTCTGATTAAAAAAAAAACATATATATTAGTTAAGAAAAATACAAATTTTCTTAAATAAAAAATTATATTTTATATTAATCTTTATTTAATTATATTTCTATTTTAATTATTATATTTATTTTTAATAATACTAGTTTTAAATTTTAGTATATTAATTCTTTCTAAATTGATTTCTTAAAAAATTTTCTAATTAAATAATAAAAAATTATTTTAACAATATTAGAATTAAGAATTAATTTTTAATACAATTATAATGAAGAAAATTGTGAATTATTGGAAAATAAAAATGAACATTAATAGAAAGGATTGAAAGAGCAGAAAAGCGAAGGTCAAACAACCACTTGGACAACCTGATGGTGAACACGTGTGTTTGAAGTAGAAATATTTCTGAAATGCGTATAGAATCCGCACATGCATACTAAGCCGTAACAAAAATGTGGAGACAATAAGTCTAGGAACATTCTGACAGGTTTTGTTGCTTTTTGGCTCTCGCTATTTTTTCACTTCCGGACTTCTTGTGAATGAATGTTCTGAACAACTCGTATTTTTTTCTTTGCTGTCGTTGGAAAAAAAATAAGACAAAGTTACATTGATATACTTTATAAATATTATGAATATTATAATTGAAAAAAATTGTAAAAAATTTTAATGAAAAAAAAAAATTTTTAAAATTGTATCAATTATTTCTTTATAAAAATATAATTTAAATAAAGAATAATATAAAATCTTTTAAGAAATTAATAATTTGAACTTCACATTTATTTAGTAAATTTATTAGACTGAAATGTAGAGATTCGCAAATTACAAGATAGAAGATGAAAGCTCCTCGTTGACATCACGACAACATTCACTAATCCAGCTGTTAGTTTCACCGGTTCAAATTTATCGTATTCGTAATCCAGGAACAGATGTGATTATTAGACAACTGTTTTCTTCAATTTGTTTAATCAATGTCCATCCATTTTCTTAACAAGAAAATAAATATATTGAAAATTAAATTCATACTTGCTTAATAAATGAAAAGAATTTATATAACGAATTTTTTCATTCTTTGTTACTTCATTATATATCTAAAAATATTTCTAAATAGATACTGTTTTTGTAAATTTGTTTTATGTTATTAAAAAATTTGTCATTAAAAAATTAATTGTATAAAGTTATTAAATAATATTATAAAAAAATTTAAACAAAAATTGAGATAAATATGCTCTCTTTGAATGAATCTTCTTCTCTGAATGTTTTCTGAATTCTAGAATGTAATAAATATTATTTTCAGAGGCACATTCAATATTTACTAAGAATTTCAAGTGAACTAGTTTAATAGGCTTACTAGTCCTGTTTAAAATATTTAATGTTCATTGAAAGAGATTCCTTGGTAAACTAAACTATTATCTGTAAAGAAAACAAGTCACAGATATTTCTTCACAAAATATAAAATACAAAATACACAAAGAAGAAAAAATATTACTATTCTTTATTTAAAATAAAGTAAAAAAGTAAAAAAGAAATTAAGGAAAAAATTCTATTACCTTAAAAAATTTATTTCTTTACAAAAAAAAAGAAAAAATATATAAAATTTACTTATTTTTCTATTAATTTTTTTCTTTTATTTTTATTTTTTTCTTTATTTTTCTATTATTTCTGTTTATTTTGTTTTATTTTATTAAATTTAAATTATCTAAAAATTTTATCTTAAGACATGAATATTTTGTTTGAAACTGAAATTATATCTTGAAAATCTAAATATTTCCATCATTGTAAACATAAAAATATGTTTAATAACCCTTTGAAACAAGCTAGCATCTGGAGAATTAGCGAGTTCGAGTTTCAATATTCGACGACGGCCAATGTCATATGATGAAGGGCGCACTTTTTTCTAATGGATAAAATTCGATGGAGACATGTGTTCGCCAGACGACGTCTCCAAGGTGCATGGGAATGAATTATGTTTCATTATGTCCGTCTTACAAGAGTATAAAGAACCGATGTTACACAATTTCTTTTCTAAATCTTTAATTCTTAACCTCTTCTTTCCCTTTCCTTTATCTCATCTAAAAAAAAAATATCGTTTAACCTTTCTTATAATATCGTTTTATCTTCCTTATAATATCGTTTTGATGAAAACAATTAATTCATAATAATTGCAATAATATTTAATATTAAAATAAATTGATAAATATATGAGATGCAAAAATTATGAATATGAAACAGTAATCATGTCGCATATCGAATTTTATACAACGTATTTTTTCCGTTATTGTAATCGATCATTTGATTCATCTCAACTATTGTGTTAATAATACTTAATAGATAATAAGTAAATGCGAAAATACTATAACTTCAACTAAATATTAAGAAATATTTTATGTATAATGTATTATTAATACAAAAAGAAATAATATATATGATTGTATATGTAATCAAATGGATATATTCATTTATATTTTCTTTAACATTATATTTTAGCATTGTACACATATATATGAAAAAATTGAATATTTACTAAAGTATTATGTAAAATATTGAAGATAAAATGATTATATAAATTGTTCACTAATTATAATTGGATTATAATTATGATTCTTTAAGCATAAATGATTTTGTAATTAAAATATAAAAGTTACATAATATGTAAAATACGACATTAAACTGCGCACATACTCTAAAACAGCGATCTCTCAGTGACAATAAACAAACGGTGACGACGGAAGTGCAGAAACGCAGCGTCGGTTGTTTGTTTGATTTTCAGATCAACTTTCTTTCTGGCAGCATCCACGACGTCGACGGCTCCGTTGACGACGCGTGTACCGTGTATACATCGGTTCCAGAACGAGGTTTCTTGAATCGTGAGAGAGGACCACCCTGATCGTCGTCACATCTTCCATAACACATTACTTATTATTTCTTATGAACGAATTTCTTCAAAATTATGATTTAACGGCATTTTAAATATATTAATAATTTTCTATCACATATGGTTTTATTGAAATATTTATTTGATTATTATTTCTTTCCTTAATTCATTAAGGATTAGGAAAACAAAATTCACTTAACTATCTCAATGTACCTGTGGTCGCTTTCGCATTTATCCCTAACCAATGAAATGTCGTGGCTGGATTATGGGGATTTTATTAGCCCCTATAATCCAAAAGTAGCAAGTACCTATGAGCAATATGTTTTCACAAAAGCATTTGGCACGTTCCTTCTTAAATTAACCTAAAGAATTTAACTAAAATCTACCGTTCAGTTAAGATTAGGATTCATTAGAAAATAAGAAATTTTATTACAAAATTAATATTTTTATAAAATTTTTCAATTAAGGAAAAATTATATTAATTTTATAATTAAAATTCTTATAATTAAAAAAATTCTATAAATATATTTTAATTCTATATATATATATAATAAATTAGAATTATTTTATTTAATTATTTATATTATATGATATATTATTATATATTATATTATATGTAGCATTAAATTAGATAAAATTAAATTACTTTAATTAAGTAAATAAGATTTTAATTTATTTAACGAAATTGAAATATTGTTAGTTTTTTTATTATAAAATAAATAATTTCAAATAGTGAAATTATATATAAGTTTTTAGAAAATTAGATTTTCTTTAAGTTTTCCTAAATTGGTTGTCATCCAGTCTAATAGAATTCGTGAATGTCTTAAGTACTATGTTCATATTAATGGTCACCTCCTATAATGAGGATTACTTTCATTGTTAACACTGCTGATGGCGTACTTACTAGAATTTGCAGATGGTTCTTCAAGCTGAAGATAATCTTTACTTATATTTCTATAGTTCGTGTTCGTAACGCCATATTGAAAAATAATATTCCATCCTAAAATTAATATTAATTTTTAATACATTTAAAATCATTGCACAGTTCGATGGTAAATTCATTACAAAAAAAAATTGAAATTATCTTTGAAATCCTTAAATAATCCTTAAAATTAGTGTTTTTGTAACTAAATTTTGATTATTTGTCCAAATAGCTTCTACTTGAAGCTCACAATAATTTCCAGATTTTAGAATGTTAAAGTAATTACTAAACACAAAAAATATAATAATAGATAAGCAACGTGACTGGAATCTCATTAAAGGTGTAGTGCACTCTATGATCACCATGTGCTCGCCAAATTCTCTAGTTTATACGACTGGCACAAGTCTTGACATGTGTTCAACAGAACTGCAGAAAGGTCAGTTATGTATTGACAGTCCAAACAGGTAGCACGTGCAATCATCATGGACACCTGGTGAAAAAATCGTCCTCCAATTCAATAATAGTTAAATAAAAATAAATATATATATAAAATAAATAATAGTTAAATAAAAAAATAATAAATTATGAAGATGAGCTGTTAGTTAAAAGTTATTTAAATAAAAAATAAACAGAAAAATATATTTTTATGAAATGATAATAAAAAGAAATCTTTATTTTTTATTTTTAAATTTTTATATTTATTTTTTCAAGTAATCATATATCAACTACATCACAGGCAAGAATTATCATACATTGAAAATATATTACAGTAAATGATGGTTATATGGAAAAATACGTATATAATTTAAATGAAGTCAAAACTTTCTAGCTCACTTTCATGAATTAAAATAAAATTATATTAAATTTACTGAATAATTTATTCATTTAATTTATTCATTTAAAAATAGTTTAAAAATTCAAAAATTTTAAGTAAAATTATATTCATTAATTAAGAAAAAAAATATTAAAATATTAAATATATAAATATATAAATATTCTAAACGTGAATTTACAATAATTTATAAGATTAAATCTATTGATGACGTAGAATATTGACTTTAGAGAATGAAGCAGGTATTGAAAAATTTTAAAGTTCGTAAATATAAATCTTGAAATGGTGAAAGGATTTTTAATCGCTGGAAGTCAAACAGTAATTCGGATTAAGAAAGCAGAAAAATATTTGCACTGAAAACAATAGACAGATTGGCGACTACTGGTTTTCTGATGATCGTGCATACTGTTAATATTCTAGCACATGTTTTCTTTGTCTTTTTTTGAAAAAACCAAAATTTAATCTTTTACCATTTTTAATACCAAGTTTTATAAATTTTAAAAATTTAATTTTCTTCATTTATCTTATTTCATTATTCAATTATTCTTATTTCAAAAACTTTTCTTTAAAAAAAGAATTCTATGAAATAATTTTTATGATATTTTGTGATGTTGAAAAAATTTGAGATTAATAATGATTTATAATGCGTATATAGATAGAATACAATAAGTAAAAGTAAAATGGGAGGAGTAGTGCTGATGGTTACCAGAGAGTCGAGTGGATCGGCATTGTGAGAGGCACTTGTCGCTATTCAAGAATCATAAACACGGATTGACTTCTAGTCTCGTGCCTCTTTTGGACGCTTTTTCCTCTTATTTAACAGATTTATTCACTCTCTTCTTTTCTGAGGAAAATTCTAACATCTTTATCTAAATATTTTCAATTTAAGATAAGTAACTTTAATAAATATTAATATAATAATTATATAAATTTTTTAAATATAAAAAATAAATATTAATATTAAAATAAAAACATAATCAAATAATTTCTAAAATAAATAATATGTATAATCCTTTTTTATAAAAACAATAGAAATTTAATTTGATAGTTGATTGAATAATATCTAATTTTCCACTTAATAGCTAAAATTAATAATAACTTATATTATATAATTTATTTTCTTTATTTCAAATGTTTCTTTACTGATGATAAGAGATGATGAAAGATGAAATATAGAAAAATTAATTGACGAAATTTAAAAGGAAACATATATATCTTATTTATACATTATTTATATATTTCCAAAATAACTGAAGAATTAAATACCATTCTAATCATGATTGTATTGTTATACATAGTAAATTCTTTAAGAACATACATAGTGAAACACATTCACGATGAGATTAATCGTAATAGATGATGAATATGCTCGAAGAAAATCTGGAATCGCAAGCAAGAAGTGTTCGTCAATCTTTAGTCTATAAAGTCGAAACATTCAACAATATCTCTTATGGCTTTTCGGCTAATGTTGCGCACGTACTGTTCACAAAGTGTCCCTGGACTAGGTCCGTACGCATTATAAATGCTGCCTTTACGATCCGCGCCGACAGATAATTTCTACAATGTTTGCACCGGCCACCATCTTCGCCATGTGTCGAACATACGGCACCGTCATCCTGGTAAAGAGCAATAAGCCTAAGGTAGAGAAATTGCGTATTCTTTAGACACGGTCCTTTCTTGATCCTTACAATTGCAGTTGTCATGTACGGTTAGACCTGTGCAAATAGAATACAATTAAACATAGGAAATTCTATCACGCTTTCATGATTTATTATTAATAAATTTACTTTCATATAGAATTTTTCAAATTTTTCAGAATAAATGTTATACAAATATAAGATGTTTAAAATTTTACTTAAGAAATTTACAATAAAAATAAAAAGTATAAAATAAATAATAATATAATATAAATAATAATAATAGATATCTTAAAATAACAAAGATATGATAAAAATTTTAGTTTTTAATTCTGAGTTTTGTAATATTTTTCCATAAGTCTGAAAAATTGAAAATATGCTATATTATAAATATAGTAATAAAAATAAAAGTTGAATGAGTATAAAAAAATACAGATGTCCTTTATGACCTTGTGAATTTTCTTTTACAGAGACTTTCACCTTTTTCCCTCAGAGGAAACATGTGTTTCGACCACCAGTTTTCGGCAGGTCGCGAACACATGTTCCGGGTTGCCATTCAGCTCGTAAATGCAAATTCACGGTACAGTCGACATAGCGACACATGGACCACCATCCTACATCTATTATCACAATGTCCATCTTCCATCCTTGTGTTTTCAATAAACATCTGGATAGACTTTTTGAAAATTATATTTGTGTGCAAGTCAACAATGATTTTTCTGAGCAATGGAATTCTTTTAAAATCACGAAAAAATCAAAAATTAATTTTAAAAATCTATATATAAAAACATGTCTTCCTTAAATATATTTTTATTATAAATACTGATACAAACAATACTATTAACATATGAAACTTCTATTTAAATGATAAAAAATTATAAAATCAAAGATTACCTTTATCAAAACTAATCAAAGATTATCTAACAATAAGATAACAAATTTGTAATTCATAAATTAGAATATAATTAAATTACATAATTTATAAATATAATGTAAGAAGTTTTTGAATATTTAAAATATAATTTACTATATAATATTTGTATAATTATATTTGTATAATACTATATAATTTACTATAATATTTGTCTTTAGAAATTTACTAAAATCTCCATTGATCAATTCATAATTTATTTTTTAAAGATTAAAATAACTTCAGGGTAAAGATATTTCAGGTTACTAACGGAAGAAGTTTCTGGGGAATTCCCACTGTAAATATTCCAACAATTGTTCATAGACAGATCGGCGCCGTTTTATGACCATGATAAAAGACTTCTTAGGCCATCAGGTGTTAATTGCTTTGCTGGTGGCAGAATTCAACCTGAAATACTGAAATACCTTAATCCTTACAGCCAGTGTAAACAGGCTCATCCATAAATTCTCATCAAATCGGATTTTCTTTGACAGTACACTACCTTCAAGGAATTATTAAAAGCCTCTTGCAGCTAATTAGCCTTTCCCGACAAGTTGTTGGAAACAGGCAGGTTAGAAAATATATGTATATAATAACTATTTACTTAAAAAAAAATTATTATATATTAATAAATTTTTTTTAAAGATTATATAAGAATGATACAATTATATCATGGCATTTGAACTTATACTTGAATTTATGTTCATATGAAAGCTAATTGCAAGGATAAATCTTATTTCTAGTAACTTTTTCACCAAAAAAAATAAATTATATAAGATTCTATATTTGATACATGTACAAGTATCAATGATTTCAAACATCAATTTTATTTGAAAATCTTTTGAATAACAAATTTTATATAATATATATTTTTTAAATATAAATATATAAAAAATAATTATAAAGTTGTATACGTATGTACTGATAATATATACTGTTAATCTTATAATTATATAATCAGAATTTTTTGAATAATTTTTTTTAAATTAAATATTATTATTATAAGATTTAATATAAATTATATATTTCTTTATGATAAGAAAATATAAGAATTAAAAAGAAAAATATAAATTAATTTTTTTTTTTTAAATAAAAGAGTGAGGAAGAAAGTCATAAAATGTAATGTAATGTATAGAAAAAATAGTCTTTGAAAACCCTTAATCTGCAACGGTGCACGACGAAACATACATTCGCATGTGCATCGATTAAACGCAACCGCGTACGCATAATTAAGCTCACGTTAATATCGTGAAACGGTGCGTGCAGCAGAAACGCACGCACATCTTTGCAACTTTTCTTGTGTTGCATAGATGTTTTAGATTCTGAATACTGCTCATTTTATCTTTTGCAAATTTTCAAAATATTTTTTTAATTTATTCTTTTATTCTTTTTTTAAATTTATTAATAAAAAATTTTAAAAAAATAAAAAATAAGAAAGAAAAAAGCAAAAAATAAGATATAATATATCTTAACCTTTTATGATTTAGAGAAATAATAGAAATATTTTCATATTTTATTTTAATCGTTATGATATCTAAATTATTTTATTTATTTTTTTCAATTTACTATCTTCTCAATTATTTCTTCATAGATTAAGTTAAAAAAAATTCTAACTAATAACAATATTTGATATTATTGTCAATGTATGCACAAGATGAAATTATAGTAATTTTATTATACAATTTAAAAACCGCAAGATTACTTTGGTTTCTCTGAAAATATAAAATCAAACATTAATTTCATATAAGATTAAACTATTTCATATAAGATGTTTCTTATAAAACATTTTTCTTCTAAAATATATAGATATTTTAAATAAGTCATCTTTCTTGATTACATACGTGTAATTATCTAGAACTGCCAAAAAATCAAATCGTGGTAAATCCTAAGGAATTTTCAACCTTAAGGAAAAGCCAAGGAAGCTAGGAAGATGGTGCAAGTTATTTGACTTTGATCAGCAACGAGTATTATTTTGGTGTTTGGCCGCGTTATTTATCGGCCTCTTTATTGGCGATCTGATTTTCAGTTGGCCACGAGCCAGGATCCGGGATTTTCTGCTTGCTCGTTTCGCTTCCCAGAAGTGAACGGCAGAGACGAAGAAGCAACGTTAATGTCTTTACTTTCGATAAACGTGTTTCGATGTAACGACAAATTCAGACGTATGTCCTATGACTTTCTCAAAAATGTAAAAAAACTTATTAATGACCACTAAATATTTTCATATGATGTTTTACTTCGAAATCACACTTTTCTGAAATAAATTTAATTCTTCTTTAAATATTATATTAATAAGTTATACAAAATTAAAAGAAAAAGAGATTAGAAATAAAAGAAGAAAAAATTTTGATAAAATTTTTGTAAATCAAGTATATCTGATACTATTTAAAGCTAATTTATATTTTGTGAACAAGAATTCTTATAACATCATGATATTATAATGATATTTATGTAATGACTTATGATTAAAGTTACATGCTGATTTAAAAATTTTTATAAATTTTATATATATAGAAAACAAAGACAGAAATTTAATTTATATTTAAAAACAACAAAAAATATTTAAAATTTTTTTTCATAAAAAGTAATCAAATAATAAATAATAAATAAATTATCAATAAAACAAAAAAAAAAAACAAAAAAAAAGAGGAAAAATAAAGTGGAATTTAAGTTTGAAATTATTATTAAGAAGATTCTTCCGATTAAGGAGAAATTCAATGATTTCGTTGATTCAGTCGCCATGTCCGCAACTAAATTTTAGACAGGCGTTACCACAACGTGGAGTGAGACATAGTAAATCACGGGACTATGTAGGAAAACCGTGGAACCCGTGAAAGCTCGAAACGCGGAATTTATAGACACCTTCAAAAGAGCTTTCGACCGTCACAACAAACATGTCCCGGCAATCCAGCATAGTCATTCATCATTCAGCCTCGCCACACTGGAACTGCGGCTCGTCTATCAACGATTTTGAATCGTTCCATTCGCCTGTATTAATTTCAATTCGCGAGAAATAAACTTATTCTTGAAAATATCTAAAGTTTTGATGCTAATATTTAATGCATTAATTTATAATTTTTTTGTCGCATTAAAGATGGAAGAAATTTATGAGATGAATAACTTGAAAGGATAAGATCTAAAAAAAAAAGAAATTATTAATTTTAAGATTATTTAGATTAATTATTTAGTTTAATGTTTAAAAAAATGATTTAATATAATTTAAAAAAATCCAGATAATCTTTAAAAAAAATAGTATTTAGTATTTATATAAGTTAAACTTTACAATCATACCTATTTGATCCAATTAGTCAGAACTAATTTTATATCTATTATATCTCATATTGATATATGTATAATAAAAATTCTATGAATAAAAAAAGAAATAATTATAAATAAAAATAAGTATAAGTAATATATAAGTAAAATATATAAGTAAATGAATTATTAAATTCATTAACTTTACAGAAAAGAATTTGAAAAAGTATTTCAAATATAAATAAATTATGTTAACAATGAGAATAATCAAACAAAATTGACAAAGAGAAACAGAGGAATCGCGCGTTTTCGCGCCATTTCATGCCAAGTGAATGCAGAGTTTTGCAGATCATAGCCCTGTTCTTCGCTATCCCTCGCTTTATTCTCACTGGCTCCTCGCGATATAAATATTCAACATGGGTCGTCCCTCAAGTCTTCTATCTCTTTCTTCGTATGTTCCTCCTTTTCTGTTCTTTCTCTTATAACACTATCTCTCTTTATTACTACCCAAGCCATTCAATCTCTCTCTTTTCAACTTCTTCAATCTTGCAGATCGAGATTACTGAAGCATCAGAAAAAGATCATCAATCATTCTATATAAAATTTAATAAAATTCCTTTCGGCAAAATTCAGAAGTTAAATACTCATTTCAAACAAATTTAATAAAATATCTAAAATAAATAACAAAATTATATTCATTTCATGAATTTCAATTTTTTTACTTTAAGAAATCATTAAAAGAAGGAGCTAAGAAAATTAAACCATAAGCATGAAAATGTAAAAAAAATGTTCAAATTCCAATTTTATCCATATTCTATCTTTTTTTTTTTTTTTCACGTTTACAGTTTTGACAGTGGTTACAACTTTTGTAGCTCCCTGATCACGATCCTCAATCTCCCAAGCCCCCTTTCAGTATATCCTTTTCTTTCCAACAGCCAAGTTTTGTGGGTGGGGACTAACTGACAGACACGATGGATAAAAGAAACCGTCCCAGAGCATTGGAGGGGTTTATATAGGCGGATAGAGGGGCCAGGTAGGGGAACAGCTCCATAGTCGAAGGCGGGGTTCCTGGTTGACATGAAGAGGCAGTCCGAGGGCCGGTTCTTTCAGATGAGTCTGAACTTTCGAGCAGAGACGTATGCTCATTTACAAGTCTACTATAAATGTATCGACATTATATAGATGCTGAGCGTGTGTCCTATAATAGCCCAAATCCTTTCATAAAAGAGTTACTTCATAAAAAATCCTTTGAATTAGAAAGAATCCTAGAAATTAGCTATAATTCTATTCAAACAGGTTCAAAGTGTTTGGGACGAGTTCTAGTGAGTGATGTCTAAGTGTTTAACTATTAACTAATAGCTAAAGTGAAGTTTGATGAAGATCATGCAGACCACGCAACCGGTGAGTCTCCAGACGCAAAGGATCCAGGGGCTCTATCTTCTGGACAATAATGACAGCTCTGGAATTCCTCACAGTGCTGAAAGCTCGGCTAGTAACTCTCCCGATCACTATGAGAGATTTTCTCCTTCGACACACTTAATGGATCTAAGCAGTCCACCTGAACATAGAGATTTACCTATATATCAATCTCATCATCATCTTCATCATCATCAAGTACTTTATCAACAATCCTCTTACCTGATGTATGAAAATCCTGATGAGGAAAAAAGGTATCAAGAACATCCCAATGGAAAAATCCTTAGGGAACTTCAAACTGACTATGACAGACGTCTTCATGATAATTCTCCAGGTTTTTTGTCAGACCATAGCAGAGATCAAGAACAAAATCTTTATTTAACCCCATCTCCTCAAATGTATTCCTCTGGAGGAGAAGAAATGACACCTAGACAATCTCATCAAAGTTATCATCACATGGATTCGGTTGAATACAAGCCGGAAGTAATGGAATACAAACCAGACGTAGAAGAGCAGCGATACAAGCAGGTGGAGATGAGCCAAATCACGGAACCTTCTTCTTCAACTAAAAGTTATGTACTCGAAGGATCTAGAAATGGTGGAAAGAGAAAAAGAAAATCAAGTACCATTGAAAATGAATCTGAAACGGAAAGTAACGCGTCTTCGACAAAAACGAAGGTGAGAAGGAAAAGTGGAGCAACGTTTGAAGAAATTCAAAATCAGAGAGTGATGGCCAATGTGAGAGAAAGACAAAGGACTCAAAGTTTGAACGAAGCATTTGCTGCACTTAGAAAGATTATACCAACGTTACCAAGTGACAAGTTGAGCAAGATTCAAACATTAAAACTAGCTACCAGATATATTGACTTCCTGTTCCAGGTATTGCATTGCAATATGGAAAACACTGAGGGTGCTGATGATGCTAGTAAGTTTTCATCACATTTTACATTCAAGATAAAATATTAAAATTAAATTCAATTATAATGATGTAAGCTTTGAACTAAACAATTTACATTTCTTAATTTCATTTTTGAATGCAGTTATTAGATATAAATATTAGATAGATATTTTGTTTTAATTACTTTCTTATTTTTTTCTTCTTTTTATTTTTATTAATTAATAAGTATTAAAATTGATGAATATTCTACAAATATTTGTATTTTATACTTATATTTGTATCTTTATACTTTGATTTTTAATAGTATCTCGATTATTTAAATATTTATTATTCAAATATTTAATTATACGAACATCTTATTTGGGTATTCGATTATTTAACAATATTGGTAATAAAGAAAAACAATAAGTAAGTATTAAGTAACTTAATAAATTTTAAAGATTTTTGCCTGTCATACTTTCTATGTATATAATTATCCAAAAAATTCAATTATTTTTGACAATTAATTCAATTAATCAAGATTTTATATATAATAAAATCTTTAAATTTGTTTGTTAAAACAGATATAAACTATTTTTTCATCGTAGCAGCAGTAAACTATTTTTAATACTATTATTATTAAAATAAATAAGAGTATAATGCATATTATATAGATATATTATATTTATGAATCTAAACATCTAAATAGTAATCTTTGATAGTAACTATTATAACGTATCCGTCGGTATACCTCCAGCCAAGTAGCACGTGTTTATAGAAACTAGTTCGTTTGTTTAAAGTTCCTGTAATTAAACAGATCCCCATGAAGAAGTAGTTTTGATTCGAATATCAACAACTATGCTAAGTAACTGTGTCATCTCTAGAGGTAGCTCTTCAGGTAAACATCTTTTCCCACTCGACTTCTGTTATTTGTCGTTAGGTAAAACAATCTTTATCAAACAAATTGATTGAAGAGAATAAATCGAGAATGAATTAGTCTAAATTTTAAGAATCTTTAAGAATTTCTAGATTTGTTAAAATTGAATATATAATCTTTTCTTTGCATTTGATTAATCTCTTAAATTAGTTTACGATTATATTTTTGATAAGTTTGTATCTTAACTTGTTAAAAAATTTGTAGTATTCTTCTGAAAAAAATTATATTAATTTTATGATTTTGATATCATTAATAAAAATCAATTTGATATTTAGTCTAATTTTGTATTTCAACTTAAAGAAAAAAAAATTAAATAATTTATGGAATATTTTCTTTTTAAAATATTTGAAGATTTTTGAGTAATGAGATTTATATCAAAGAATTCTGCAGATATTGTAAAAGCAAAATATGTGCTTTTTCAATATTTTGTATCATTAGTTTTCTTGCATTTCTATCTCTTAACGTTGACAATTAGTTAGAGTGCGATTTAGTACAAGTCAAATAGTGGCAATATGTGCAGTACAATAACTTCAGGTGACTAAAGATATCGAGACACGCTAACTGTCTTGAAGACGAGGACGATGATTGGTCCATTTTCAGCGCGCCAACCGCGAACATTCACTATATATTTCTTCCTTTCATTTTGCTTATCTGATATCCCATGACGTTTTTCTCTCTTCGTCTTGGCAAGAATTCTTTTTACTTACCCTTGCCCGAATACTCTGATTTAAATTCTTTTAAATTATAATTACAATGTACAATATTTACGAATTTTGCAATTTATTTTTTATTTCAATATTTTCAATTTCAACACTTCAATTTTAAAGTTTAACAATTTAGAGAATTCACAATTTTGATTGTTTCAAATGTTTCAGATATTCTTATCATTCGAGCACTTGTAACATCATATGTATCTGCAATTTTAAAATTTTTCAATCTCAAGATTTTCCATTTCAAAAACTTTTAATTCGAAAAGTTTATAATTTTAATTCTTGCAATTTTTTGCTATTATTATACTAATATATATATAGTATTATATAATATTTGGAATTTTAAAAATTTTAATTTCAATTATGTTTCATGATTCGCTTGGAATTTTAGGTTTTCTAATTCCGAAATGCGTAGAATTTCTTTTCTTACAATAGACATACCAGTTCAAAGATCGAGTTAGAAAAGAATTAATCAAGCTCGATTTCTTGTTTCAGACGAAAGAAATCCAAGAAGTGCTGTTCTAGCCGCCAGAGAAATAACTTCATCGTCGTGCAGCTACATGGCTCACGAAAAACTTTCATACGCTTTTAGCGTTTGGAGGATGGAAGATGACTGGAATTCGAATCTCTAGAAACTTTAAAAAATATTTTTTGAACGCTCAACAAGGTAAAAGTTACTTTAAATTGATAATCAACGCTTTAAACGTTGTATGAATATCTAGAAAATATAGAGAATTTTAAGATAAGAGCTTAACAATGCTCAGCGATTATTTAAACATATTTCTATGAAATGTTCATAACGAGGTGCAAACTGGGAGTTTGTTAAATTGCGTGTCGATTTCCTATTTTCGCTGGCACGAAAATATTGAAATTATGATAATAGGAAAAGACAATGGCATATATGAAAATAATCTATTCAGGATCAACGATGCTTTCATGGAACATATTATTTAAACAACATTTAATTTTCAAAAATTATCGAATTTTTTAACATTATAATCATATAAGGAAACAATCTTTTTAATATCATATCTGTCAATTTCTTTCATCGTCTAAAACGAATAATTTTATGAATATTTTTAATTTTGAAAAAATTGAAGTAATCATAAAATTATGAAGAATTATTTTTTGAACAATTTTTTGTGCCGCCAATGTATTTCGTAAGCTTCTGTGATGTGTTTAGATATTATTCTAATTCACTTTTTATATATTAACAAAACAATATGAATTATTTTATTTACCTTTTTAATCTTTTAATAATAATTCGTTAATGTAATGTAATAAATAAATTAGAAAAAGATATCAATCAATTCGTTTTCCATTTAAATAGCGCTGATTTTCGTTTCTTAAAATATTATTTGACAAAAATTATATTAAAAATTATTTTTTTCTTTTATAAAATTAATTACAAAAGTTGCTTGTAATTTAAATTTGAAGCATGTCACACTTGCTGGTCATTACGAATGACTAATTAAGAGTAATTATTTCTCTAGAAGGACTAAACATCTTTTATTGATCTTGTTGAAATCACGATAGTCAACTTCGTGATAGATTAAGAAAGATTAAGTTCATGAGACATAACGTAAGTCAATAATTTACGTCTTCTTCTCGCTCTATTAACATTGGAATGTTTTTGGCTCGTTAGCCAATTCCTCCATAATTTCTGAACCGTGTGAAAGTGATAATATAATAGTTCATTAATGATCTTTTCTGTTTTCTATCAATCTCAATCTTCGAAATAGAGCAAAATGATCCAAAATAATTCTATTCGTTATATTGATCCGTTATGTTGATACTTATTTACTCAGTTATTTTTTATACTATTTATTTAAAAAATATATATTATTAAACTGATAAATTTATTTGTCAAAAAAATATCGTAAAACAAGATATATTTTTCTTTAAAATTTTCGTTTAATTTTTATATATTATATTATTTAACTAAATAAAATTTTTTATAAACTTACATTACAAATTACATCTAAGTTTATATAAATATGATAATTTCCTACAACAATACTTATAATATTTTAATAGTACTTACATCAGAATAACCCCTAAATCGTATAATAGACACCATTAGATTCTCTAAACTTTACCAATTTTCCTTCTTCAGATCCACGACAGACAGTAGTATCATTGCTACAATTTTACGAGTTTTTTTACGAGTCTCGATGATCGTGGCAGACTAACGTCTCGACGTTGTGGAAACAAGTTCTAACTGCTCCGACGGGTAGATGAAACTTAAACAAAACAACCGACAGAGAAACATTAACGATCATTTTGGCGCCAATAGGTCGGGGAAGATATCATACCTTTTTCAATTTTTCTTCTTCTTTTCCATATTTTATTTGGATAATGAGAATAACTTTTAGTAGTATCTATTTTATTTCATAAATGTTATAGTTAAAGTAGAGATTCCTTCATAGTTTAGTCAATTTTACATGAGAAGGTTTCGAACACAACCAGTTATTTTAAACCAAGAAGACAAGAAGGGAAAAGTTGGGTCTACGTTTGACTTGCTTAACGAAGACACGCTACGTTAAATCCGCCAGCGTCTTTATTGCCGCACTGAATCTTCGTGAAAAAAAGTTTGCCTCCAAACGAGGTGCCATCAGTGTCCCCCTTGAGAAGCTGTCATGAAACTATTCTCTTTTCCTTTTCCTTTTTTTTCCCTTGTTAAAGCTTTATATTAATTTGGAAAGAAATTTTACTGAAAAAAAAAAA